ACCACCAAAGATTACTCAAAGCCCATCTCTTTTGAGCAGTGAGAAGCCTCCAAAAGGGGTTAATTTCCCTGAACCCTCAAAAGCAAGGCATTCCTTCCATTTGAGAAATTAACCCCGAATTGGGGTTCTCTTCCTGCATTTATACTCCAGACCAAGAAGTTACAGGAAGAGACATAGTTTGAACAAGTTTAATAATAGAAGCTGTAACATTCAGTAAAAACAAGTCAGATGACATTCTATCAGGCAATTAAGTGATCTACCAACAAAAGCTTGATCTAGCAAACATTCCTTCTCCCTCCATCAGCTTTCCAGTAATTTTACATATCAGTCAGTAACTAGTCTGTCTTTGAGCCAGCAACCTTGCTGCGTTACAATTCCTTATCTTACAACAGAGATTTTATAGCCTGGGGAAAATTTCCTGTCCTTTGCAAGGTCAATATTTGAAACTACGAGGCTTTGGAAAACCAGGCCTTGTGAAGTACATTTGCTTTATGAATACTCCACAGTTACTTCTGTTCTGAAAGAATTAAATTAACAATTAAATTAAAATTAATTAGTTAAATTTAATTAATTTTGACCTTTTAGTATTAAAAATTTCTAATGATCTGCTCCCACCATACATTTTAAAATCTTAACATTGTTTTTCTCTGCATATATGCAGAAGTTTGTTTCTTTAAAATATTTTCTGATTTTTTGAATATTTCCTTTAGTTTGAAACAGGTCACCTGACTTAATTTCAATCCTGTTTTTGCTACTTGTTTCTCTAGTCTTAGATTCTCTTCCCTGCCTCTGTGGTTCTTTTTATTTGCTTATTTATTTCCATTTACTGTTATAATGGATTCAAAGTATATTTCTTCTTTTCTTTTTATATACCATCTGCTGATCTAAGTCAAAATTGAAAACAATATGCTTAGAAACTAGGGCTTCCTATAGTTGAATGTCTTATTAATGATAGGAGAAGACATAATTCATGATGTTGACTGTATGGACTTTATTATAGTATCCACACTATTGAAGGTTAGACTGAACTCTTAAAGTGTTCTTTGCAATCTATTTCATTCCTAATAGAAAACACTGTTTTTTACTTAGAAATAGATAAAATGTTTACTTTGGACAACTTTATAAATCATGGAAAGATATACAATTAAAATTTGAATAATGTCAACATCTTTTAACTTGCATTTAAATAATTCATGTTGACTGAAATTTTTGTTGCTCATTTTTTCTCCAAGTAAAATTTATTATTCATCTTAATGTCAGAGTTTGGAAATTACATGAAAATTTGACTGTTGCTCTTCTTGCACCAAGACCCCTTAGAATAAAAATTAGGAGCATTTTATTTTTCTGGAAATATGAATCTGTGACAACTTAAGTTGAAAAAACTAATTTATATTAATAATTTCTTTCTAAGGAAGAACTTTATAGAAATTAGATTTACATTGTGAAATCAGAATTTAATACTGAGGGCCGGCCCGGTGGCACACTGCTACAGTGCGCTGCTTGGGAAGCGCGGCGGCGCTCCCGCCCGAGGGTTCGGATCCCACATACAGACCAGTTCCCGCTCACTGGCTGAGCGAGGCGCGGGAGCAGCGCCGAGGGTTGCGATCCCATTGCCGGTTCCCGGTCCGGTATGGGGGCAACACTGAGGGTTGCGATCCGTTGCCGGACACGGAAAAAGACAAAAGACAAAAAAAAAAAAAAAATTTAATACTGAACATTAAATCTAACATTACTGTTCTCTGATTTCATGCACAATATATAATGCAGATTACTTCCTTTGTGAGGAAATAGTTGGCTGAAGTTCCAGAGCATCCCCCATGAGAGGATATGGCCATGTGATGCTATATACATACTTGTTCTCTTTTCACAGTTTCATGACAGATTTTCTGATGTTTTCTTCAGTATCATTGTTAGAGTCATACAGCCTTCTTAGATAATAATTAAAAGTTAATTCTAATAAAAAAAAGAACTAGAGGTTGTTTTTTTTTTGTCTACCTACAGGAAAAGAACTGAAAAATCAAGGTTTAATTGTAAAACTTCAAATTTAAGATTGAGATTAAAGTAGAAAGATTTTCAAGGACCATATCTTGAACATTGTAGAAGTTTAATTTTTATTTAATTTTTTTGTATATATTTATGCAAACATATAATTTTACTTGTGTTTATATATCATGAATGTATTTGTTTACTTAGTTTTTAAAGTTTTTTTGGGGGGGTGGGGGTTGACATGTTTTCCACACATAGGCCTTCCCCTCAGTCTTGCTGCCTGAAAGCCAACCCATGTTAACAATCTAGCATATTTATCTTCTACAGTGTG